TAGGTCAGTGGCCCTTGGCTTGGTATTGTTGGCAGAATTCGGCCCTCGGCGAAAACTAATTGAGGAACCCTGCTCTAGACGGTCCATGTTCGTCATTAAAGCCTGATTATTATGTGGTGTATGCATATTTGGTGGACAAGTGAATGCTTTATCTTGTCACTAAATACTCACTATCTGGTCACTATAATATAATTTTAAATCCATCAAGAAACTGGCTGCTAAGTTGCAGTCACATATGAAATCCAGTCGTTTCAATAGGAATTTACACAATCAGGAATTTTGCACGAGGGTGAAATTTCTTTACACAGATTTCACAAGTTGTTCACTCAGATTTGTCTTGTTTACCAATAAAAAGATACTTGATTGAAAGATGCCTGTTAATTTACTCATCCCTATGTCATCCAAGATGTTCATGTCTTCCTTTCTTCAGTCGAAAAGAAATTAAGGTTTTTGAGGAGAACATTCCAGGATTTTTCTCCATATAGTGGGCTTCAATGGGCATCAAGGGGTTGAAGGTCCAGAATGCAGTTTTAAAGGTCTCTACATGATCCCAGCCAAGGAATGAGGGTCTTATCTAGCGTAACAATTGGTCATTTTCTAAAAAAATTCAAATTCTATACTTTTTAACCACAAATGCTCATCTTGCACTAGCTCTACTTCTCGCATTTCATAATCACGCTGGAAAGGTCACGCTTGTCATAAGCATAAGTACCGACCCAGTGTTTACAAAGCGAACGTGCAAAGTCAAACAAAAAAAGGTAAAAAAAAAAATTTGAAGTTGGAGGAGAAAATGAGATGGATTTTTTCGCCCTACCCTACCTTTTTGAACCAGAGTACACAGACGAAGAACTAACGACATGCGACTTTTCCAACTCGACTACGTCATGTGTGAAGCCGTAGATGCGCATCGCAGAGCTAGTGCAAGATGAGCATTTGTGGTTAAAATTAGGGCTGCACGATAAATCGCATGCGATATTTAACGCGCATCTTGTCAGAAAGCCGGTTCTGTAATCAGCGGTAAATCGATAAATCGTAATTAGCCCGCACGTGATGGAGATTACCGCTGATTACAGAACCGGCTTTACTGATAAGATGCGCGTTAAATATCGCATGCGATTTATCGTGCAGCCCTAGTTAAAATGTATATAAATTTGTGTTTCTTTTTAGAAAATGACCAATCATTTCGCTATATAAGACCCTTATTCCTCGGCTAGGATCGTGTAGAGCCTTTTGAAGCGTGGACCTTCAACCCACCAGCTCCCATTGAAGTCCACTATATGGAGAAAATCCTGGAATGTTTTCCTTAAAAACTTTCATTTCTTTTCGACTGAAGAAAGAAAGACATGAACATCTTCGATGACATGAAGGGTGAGTAAATTATCAGGAAATCTTAATTCAGGAATGAACTAATCCTTAGCAAACTTCCAATTTCAACAGGATTTTTGGGCATCATTGGTGTGTTTGAAGCAAGGACATCTATTATAATTGAAGAAAAGTATCTGTTAGCATTCCCGTTTTTTTTTTGGCTGGCATACGACCACCTCGAAGAATGTGATTTGAAATCCGCCATCTTTGTTAATGGTGCTCGGTTCTGCAGCGGGTTGTTTTGAGCCAAGGCTGTAAATGCCATGTGACTAATCACTAGTACTTGCGTACTTCAATAAAACGGTCCAATAATTAGCAAAAATAAAATAAACAACTTAGTTGTAGATTGTCATGGTGTTTGTGATTATGCCAGGGCTGCTGGTTCTGAAGGAGCTGGGTATCCAGGTGGAGCGTTACGTGGCCTCAGAAGTGTGCGAGGACTCCATCACTGTGGGCATCGTTCGGCACCAGGGACGCATCATGTACGTGGGTGATGTGAGAAACGTCACCCATAAAAACGTGAGTATCAAACTTCACCTCAGTTTACTGTTGAAGTTATTTGAAATCAAGTCTACATTTGGTGGCCATCTTGGTAACTTGGCAATTTCTTTAAGTACAGCTCTTATATACTGCACAAAAACTAAAATCTTCATAACTTTTGACCATTAACAATAGCTTTTGAGAGTAGTGGTATCAAATCTTCAGGGTAAAACTGTCAGCGTAACCATTTGAATGAATGGTATTTTTTTTGTCCTTGTACCATATAGGTTCCTGCTTGATTACGTCCACAATATTTCATATTGATCAATCTATTTATTGTTTTTTTTTCCTTTGTCTAATTTGTTCTTCTGTATCATCCACAGGTTCAGGAATGGGGTCCTTTCGATCTTGTCATCGGTGGAAGTCCGTGCAATGACTTGTCAATAGTGAATCCTGCAAGAAAAGGTCTCTACGGTAGGAGTTTATTCAGCTGTGTGTTCTAGCCTTAGTCTTTAGTATTAGTGTTTACACTTTCAAATACCATTTAAAAGATTGGGGTCCATAAGACTACAAAATATTTCTAATTCAAAAATGCTGTTCTTTTAAACATTTTATTCGTCAAAATATCCTGGAAAAATGTATCATGGTTTCCAGAAAAAGATTAAAGGGGCCATGTCTTTATGCACCAAGAGCTTGTAACACTCCAAAGAGAAAGGAAAACTTGAAATCGCATGATATGACCCCTTTAAGCATCACAACTGTTTTCAACATTGATAATAATAAGATTAAGAAATGTTTCTTGAGCACCAAATCAGCGTATTAGAATGTGACACTGAAGTAATGTCTGCTGAAAATTCAGTTTTGCCATTACTGGAATAAATTACATTTTAAAGTATATTAAAATAGAAAACAGTTCCTTTAAATAATAATAATACTTTAAGTAATTACATTTTACAGTATTATCAAATAAATGCATCCTTTGGTGAGACTTTTTTCAAAAATATTACCGCCCACAAACTTTTGAATGGTAGTGTACTGTATATCTCAGTTGTATTTATAACACAGCTCATATATTTGTACATTTTTATGATAATTTCGTAATGTTTTTCAATCTTGCTTTTTGTCTTTCAGAGGGCACGGGTCGACTCTTCTTCGAGTTTTACCGGCTGTTACATGAGGCCCGACCTAAAGAGCGAGATAACAGGCCATTCTTCTGGCTCTTTGAGAATGTGGTGGCCATGGGTGTCAGCGACAAGAGGGACATCTCTCGCTTTTTAGAGGTGTTTGAACATGATGATTAAGCTGTGCTGAATTTGTCTTATACTGTCAGTGGGGCTTTAATATAAACCAGTAGGTTTTGCTACCACCTAGTGGTAAAATGACCTGCTGTGTAGAAACGAATGAACCCATTATATGCTTGCTAGAGTCAATATTACTAAGGTTTTGGATATATTTTATTATCTATTTATTTTAGTGCTGTCAAACGATTAATCACGATTAATCGCATCCAAAGTAAAAGTTTTTGTTTACATAATTTATGTGTGTACTAGGGCTGTCAAAATGGCTGAAAAACTAAATTCGAATTTTGTACATAAATACGATCAAAATTCAAATTATATTAGAATTTAAAATGCATTATTTCAGTTAGGGTGAAGAAAAGCTTTTTGAGGCCACAAGAGGGCACATCGAGCAAAATATTACTAATGCACGTTTCTTCAAAGCATAAGGTAACATGACTATCTGTGAAAAAAAGTGCATAATATTTAAAATAATGCTTATAAACCAATTAAAATTAATTAAGTTGCTTAAACAACTATAAACAAAACAGCATCATGTATGTATGCATAGTTTAATACAAAGGGCCGAAAGCCAATCACACAGAGTACATTTTTCATTTAAAAACACGAGTTGCAGTGGGATGGGAAAACCCCCCGCCATAATGTTTTTGCATTCGAATGTGGATTTTTATTTTAAATTCGACGAATATTCGAAATTCAAATTTTTGTTTTGACAGCCCTAGTGTGTACTGTCTATATTTATTATGTATATATAAATGCACACACATGCATGTATATATTTAAGAAAAATATGTTATATTTGTATATTAAATATATTTATTTATAATATAAATTATATAAATATAAACATGTAAATACATGTGTAAATATTTTCAAAATATATACTGTATGAGTGTGTATTAATATATACATCATAAATAGACACAGTACACACACATATATTATGTAAACAAAAACTATCATTTTGAATGCGATTAATCATTTGACAGCACTAATTTATTTATTTTGACATTTATTTGTTTATGTATCATAGTGCAACCCAGTGATGATCGATGCCAAGGAGGTGTCTGCTGCCCACAGAGCTCGCTACTTTTGGGGTAACCTGCCTGGCATGAACAGGTTAGTTGGACATGGACTCTTCATTCATTTCATTATTTAATCTCTCATTTTATCATTTTACCTCTCTATTTCCTTTTCCTCTCAGACCGTTGACCGCCATGTGCACTGATAAACTGGACCTTCAAGACTGTTTGGAGCATGGCAGGACAGCTAAGGTACTTCTTAGACCAACCCTCGATTGATTTCTGGATAAAGCAGTTTAAATCAGTTTCTTTACACATTTTTTATAGTTTGATAAAGTGCGGACCATCACCACTCGGTCAAATTCCATAAAGCAGGGCAAAGACCAGCACTTCCCTGTCTTCATGAATGACAAAGAGGACATCCTGTGGTGCACTGAGATGGAGAGGTATGACGAAATGCCTTTAAAAAGTTCTAAGCTGTAAGTCCAAATGTAAATGTAAATGTGACATTTGTTCAACAGAGAGATCTCGAGGGCCCGCTTCAGTGAACAGTGAGTTTTATCTTATATTGATTGAATCATCTGTCGTCTACTAGCTCACTGAAATCATATCCTCCTACTCAGTAGAACAGAATATGACTACATATCAATACAATGAGACATGTCTTATGTAATCTATACATTGATATAAACATAGATATACACCATGAAATGGCTTGACAAACACAGTTTTCTTCCTGTTTTGGTATATTTTAACCTGGCTTGATTTAAAATCCTTTTTGGAGATTCCAACACAAGTAGACAGATAAGACAGAAAAGAAAGTCAACACATTGTTGCTTCATTTAGTTGAACTTAATGTACTAAAATATCAAACTAAAACTGAAAAAAAAAAAACATTTTTTTTGTTGTTAAAAAATAAATAAATAATAATATTAGTAATAAAAATGACAAAAACACACAACAAAATTACCCAAACTTTAATGAAAAGGAAAATTAAAACAAAATATAAAAATAAAAACTAATTCAAATATTAATAAAGAATATAATAATATCCCAATGATGCTAAAAATCATTGACTTTTCCAAATTTTTCTAACAGAAAGAATTTTCTTTTAAAGCCACACATAACCAGCAACATTTAAAACTGTAATATTATTACAATTTAAAGTAACTGTTTCCTATTTGAATATACTTTAAAATATAATTTATTGCTGTGATGGCCAAGCTGAATTTTCAGCATCCTGTCACCTGATCTATTCTAATATTCTAAAACCATTCCTTATATTATAATATTATACAGTGTTTTTTTGTGTAAAAGAACAGCATTTATTTGAAATGGATTTTTTGCAAAAAAATTTACTATCATATTTGATCAATTTAATGTCCTTTATTGTGTCCTGTATATTCTCTATCTTTAAAACAAAAATGGCAATAAACTGTTCTAGAGTATTCATCATCTGTCTAGTCACATCACCAGAGTGTTGCACTTGTGAATACATTTAAACAAACTTTCTGCCCTTTTCACTTCTTATCAGGGTGTTCGGCTTCCCTGTCCATTACACAGACGTGTCGAACATGAGTCGTCTGGCCAGGCAGAGGCTGCTGGGAAGGTCGTGGAGCGTCCCGGTCATCCGTCACTTGTTTGCACCACTCAAAGAGTACTTCGCCTGCATCTGAACTCAAATCCAGTACAGATGAGAAAAATCTAAACCGATGTAATACCAAGAGCTTCGAAAGCAAGCTCTCGTATGTTATTTGCAAGTTCGACATCAGAAAAAAAAAAGTTATTTTATGTTTTGTTTTGGTTTTATTCTTCTGGTTTGGAATAATTGATTCTTTTTTTTTAATTCTATTTAATTTTTTGTATTATTCATTTTACTTTTTAGCAGTGTTATCCAGTATTTGATTTATGTGTGCAAGCTATACTTGAGACATGGCCTCCTTTTAAGGCACTGAGAGACGATATAACAATTCGAGGCAGAATTGAGAAATTCGTTGAGATGGAAATCGCATTTAGTTCGCCCAAACATTTCGCCTCCTGAGTTTTTCGACTGTCGGGTCGCGGATCGATCTAATTCTCGCGGTGCGCGTCTGAGCCTTGAAAAAAAAGTTTTCTCTTAGTGTCAGGGGAGCTCTGTCTTAACCAATCCAGAACACCAGATCACAAATACCTCTTTGTTTACAGTTTCTATACACATTTGAAGGTAATAAAGGTACTACTGTAATAGGTGACAATATGGTGCTTCAAGGTGATGAAAAACATTGCAACTCATGTGGTGCTACTACTCGAAACAAGATCATGGGGTCACGTTTTGTACCGTCGCCAGGTAAAACGAACGACTGAAACCTTGAAAAAAAAAGCCAGGTCTGCCACATCTCATTTTATATCTTTTACAGCCTTTTTGTACAATATTCTCTGGTGCTCTTTTCAAAAAAAGAAAAAACACACGCCTGCTTCCTTCAGTATGCCTGCAATCCGAACGCATGAAACCAGCCACATGGGCGGTGATGTTTTTGTCATCCATATCTTGAAATCAAAGGCTGTGGTGAGCTACTTTTTTTCTAGTGTCACACAGGCCAGAATCATTACTGTACAACTCTTAGCACGCGTGGCGGCCGCAGGAAGGATGGCGTCGGTCGTTTTGTCATTTTGCCGGCCAGGTGAATCAGCCTTCCAACTGCGGCGTCCGCAGGCTATTCTCAGTCAGGTGCAAAACTATAAAGGTGCGGCTTCACAATGTTCTTCTACCTTTTAATAGCAATTTTTTTGTGCTGTGTTACCAACAATATCGAGCACTTTTGTATATGTATACTTCTTTATTTCTTTGATATTTTTTTAAAATCTTTCTCCTTGATTCTTGTGAATTGTTATTTTTTTTCGGTTCTGTTTAATGATGTGAAACTCTTGCCATTATATAAGGTAATACTTTGTTGTGTACAGTAGGGCTGTGCCAATAGATGTGAACGAATGAGCTAGGATAGAATAAATCCGTCTGTCGTGCCGGTGGTGAAGGTGCCGAATTCCAATAGCACCCCTCTCATGTTTCCATGTGCTACATGAGATACAGTATAGTGTCTGCTCACGGTTCTTACCTCTGTATAATCCCAAAGTGAGTGTGTTAAGTATCCCTGTAGGAAAAGTAGTCGGATGGGGTTAAATACGTCTGGTCCCTAGCGTAGATCTGAAAACATTATTATGTTTGCCAATGGTGAATGTTGACCATGTCAATAATTTAGTTATCACGCAAGCTATATAGGCTAAATTTGTGAATCTGGTTAGAAACGGTCGGGCTCTAATGAAATCCTTGTTAGGCGCTTTTTTTTAAGTTAAGGCATTGCACTGCTTACATACCTTAAAGGGGTCATATGATGCTGCTATAAAGAACATTATTTTGCGTATTTGGTGTAATGAAATGTGTTTATGTTTTGCAACTTTACAGATCTTCTTTATGCACCAAGAGACTCCAAAGAGAAAGGAAAAATTGAAATCGCATCATATGACCCCTTTAACATTTGTCACGTTCAGCAAAGTTGCTTTTATTATGTTCCCAATTTTATCGATGCCCAGATTTGTTTCTTTTTGTACATTTTGTACATAGAAATTGTCTGTTGCTTTTTTTAATGACCTGTGAGATGTACAAATATAATACTTTGCTAATATATATCATAGAATCAAAACAGCACTCAAATCGCAAGAGGGGGGTAATTGACAGAATGGCAACAGGCTAATTGACATAAGCTATAAAGCAGCAGGGTGTCTTTTGTAATTCACATTTATATGTGTCGAACGGAGGATCAAACTAAAGAATGAGTTCGCTAAGTGATTTTAACAGTCCCATCTTTACTGCACAGCCCTACATACAAAAGTGTGTTTCGATTTGCTTTTTAATTCTTGTTTTAAGTACTAAGAGAGGGATTGTAGGTGTTTCATAAGGTGCTAAACATTTTATCTAATTGAGAAAAATATATTATTTGGAAAATAAATAAACTTGTCTTGATAATGACTTTTTTTTTTTTTCTCGATTGTTTCTTGTAGTATTGGAGAAGCACTATTATTTTACTCTCTCATATAAAGATATTAAGAAAGGCATTTTAACTTTGTACTTGAAAAAAATAATGATAAATGATGAAAGATTCTTATATTGTTTTAGAATAGACATTGCTGTAGTTGGTGCTTATCTGTGGGAAATCATGTACTCATAATGGGAAATTCAAAAAAAAACAACAACAAAAAAATTTAATTTTGCTGTTAACATGTACTTGCTTAATATCCAGGCAGAACTGCTTCTAAGTCCTACATTCCATGCCATATATCCAGCCTCCATCTTCTTTTGTTTCATTTTATTTTTTAGATTTCTGTTTTGTTAAATTTCATTTGCTTTATTGCAATCAGCTCATACAGCAAATGTAGCAATCATTCGCCACCTCTCCCCCTTTCTTTCGTTATGTGCCCAGAACGAAGAAAAAAAGGCTCCTTATGTACTTGTGCTGGAGAACACTTGAATAAATGTATTGTTTTTTGTGAAAAGTTGTGTTTTCTTTGCAAGTATTTACCATAAAATGATATGTGATTATTAAGTAAATTATTAATTGTATATCATTATTAGTTAAATAACATTTAACTTCTAAAAATGTATTATTTGTATCGAATGTTTCAATATAATATTCTGGAAAGGATGCGTAATATTAATATTACGCATCCTTTAATATGAATATTTAACAATTTGCCTAACTCTCACATGCTCTTTAAAACATTTTCCTGTGTGTGTGTGTGTGTGTGTGTGTGTGTGTGTGTGTGTGTGTGTGTGTGTGTGTGTGCAGGTGCATCTAAAAAAAATTGAATATTGTGAAAAAGTTATTTTTTGTAACTTATTTCAAAAAGTTAAACTTTCATATATTCTAGATTCATTACCTGTAAAGTAAAACATTTCAAAAGTTTTTTTTTTTTTTAATTTTGATGATTAGAGCTTACAGCTCATAAAAGAATATTTACATTTTAGCTTCATTAAATGACCATCCCTTCAGTATAAATTCTGGATATTTCTTGTTCTTTGAAACCAGAATAATGGGGAAGACTGCTGACTTGGCAATGGTCCAGAAGACAATCATTGACATCCTCCACAAAGAGGGTAAGTCACATCTACCAGGAGATTTTGGAGCACTTTATGCTTCCATCTGCTGACAAGCTTTATGGAGATGCTGATTTCGTTTGCCAGCAGGACTTTTAGCACCTGCCCACAGTGCCAAAACCACTTCCAAGTGGGTTGCTGACCATGATATTACTGTGCTTGATTGGCCAGCCAATATGCCTGACCTGAACACCATATGAATCTATGGGATATTTTCAAGAGAAAGATGAGAAACAGTCGATCCAACAATACAGACGAGCTGAAGGCTCAAC